GCACCAGCGAGCGCACCGGTGCCGGGTCCGGAGACGCAGCGGTGGTGTCGTTCGATTTGGTCGACAAAGACCACCTGAGACTGAATGGAAAAGGTGGAGACCACATCCCTGCAAGTCAGTGGACTCATTTTACTGAAGTTGGTCATACAACAAAACACCATTCAAGAAGGTCAAGGACCAGTTTTGCTGGGTCAGACTGGACTGGTAGGGTATGAAGACCTGCCGGTTTTTAAGATAGGTGTGTTCTGGTGTGTTTCAAAGACCAATCACCGACTAGACGGGACGAGACTGCACTTGGTGGACTAGTCGGGCCATGAATCCTTGAAGACGGCTCCGGGAGACCGCGGAGCCCGCCCGCGGGTCTCGAGACCTCGGAGGACCGGTTGGAGCTGGGTGATGCGGTGGGCCACCTGTTTCGCCACCTGCGCCAGCGGAGGACATGGCACCATCCTCTGAATACGTTTTGCCACCTGCGGGCGAACATGGATTTCCTGAAGGCGATCGTCAGCAAGACACGTGACCATTTGGAACGACGCAAAACACTCGTCCGGACGGGTTGGAGAAGGAGCCTTAGGAGCCCCTCCGACCAGTGCGACCGGTTCTAGTGGAACTACCTGTTTCTCCGAAGCAACGGCATCGGCAAAGCATCGGCAGGCCCTGAACTCTGCCATTTCACATCAATGGCACCACTTCAGGGCCTAGGAGACAGGGCCTTAGGTGTCTTGCCTCACTTTGGGAAGAGTGTGAGGCTCGAAAAGGCATCTGGCTCTCCAATGAATGGCTAAGGTGGCAAACATCGAGTTCTCCCTTGGATCACCCTGGCCATCTCCACCAAGGGCAGGGGGGGTGGTTCCATACATGTCTGCTCATGTATGCGTTGGTGATCGTTGGTGATTCCCTTGGTAACCCTTAGGGCTCCAAGCACATCCGACGTGGTGTGGATGGGAACATCGTCCCGTGCTTGATGGGGTAGGCAGTAGGCCAATGTCTAAAAGATCCCTGATCCTCCAGTAGACGGTTTTTGAGTAGGTGGGGCACAAAAAAGAGTTTAGTAATTAGTCCAGTTGACAGCCAGGAGGACATCTATTTCGACTACAATCCCAAGTTTTTGTCCTGCAAAAAACTCCAACCTGCCCCAATCTTCTTGCACCCCAGGGCGCAAAAAGCCGCAGCCGTCCTGAAGAATTCCAAACCTGCGACCCGTTTCTTGTAGCCAAATGGTCTACACTCTCCATGGTCCAAAAGGACAACTGCTGCATCCCGTGAAATATGGAGTCAGCCCAACCCAAACGCTCATGGAGCCTGATATGTAGGGTCTGGGGTCTCAAATCTCTAGATTTTGAGGGACCAAGGTGAGCTGGACTTGGATAGTCTGCCATTCTTCCCAGTACTCGATTGGAGCGCGGTGCATGATGTCTGTGGTTGTTTGTCTAGGTGAAGTCTTGCAAGCAAACACGCTCACCCAGATCTTGGTTTTGAGATCCAATCTCCTAGAAATGGAGAAGCTGAACGTGTCTTCTAGGAACCGGTCAGAAAACGTTACGGACAGGAAAACAAATGAAACATCGGTCGAGCCCAGGCACTCTGCTCCCCAGAACTGCTTTGCCACTGGGACGACTTCCCGGCACGTCCTCAGCGAGGTCTTGCACGTCCGTCGACCCATGTGTTTCCGGAAAAAACCCACCGGATCCAGCCACGACCCGTGGTGCACATGGAGCATATCACTTCAGTAGACCGTATCCTTCCCCACCGCAAAGAAATCGCCCCAGCATCTGTCAAAGAAATCCTGCCCCGAAGCACCTCTGAGGCCAGTCTTCCTCCAAGGCTCCCCAGCACCTCCGAGGCCAGCATCTTCTGTGCGATCTGCGGCGCATCGGGCACGTTGACGGCAAAGATCACGTGGCTAGTGGCAGAATCCCCGCGGTACTCTTCGAACCTCACCGGGAGGGGACGGTGACTCATCTGAGCTGCTCGAGCTCGATGAGTGGAATCGCCCAACCACCCTGGCAAATCCAACCCCAGTCGGTTGCCTGATCGACAATCCTTTGGAACTTGAACCAAAAGCCTTGTAGCTTAGTATCGAGGTAGTCGCCTAATTTAGAGTACTTGACCACGTCCCCCTACATATTTGGGAAGAATATAGAAGGGCAAGGTTCTTAGGCCTACCCAAGACTCTTGAGCAAGCTCACTTATGTTCGTCGATGTGCTTTATGGCCCAGAATCTTATTCTTCAGCCCTTCCGGGGAGAGAATCCAGTGCCAACATGGAGCTTGACACATCGGATCGTTGGGATCGGTGACCGGCGAGCTGGTGTTGGACTACCTGCTCAGCTGAGGAACGACACCTTCATCGTTGCCTCAAAGGGATTCAACCGAATGTCCTCGAAGAAGACGTGGCCCCCACCGCCATCCGCCGTGCACACCGCTCCGTGCATCAACTGCTTCGTCGCCTCGTCCTGAAGGACGTGGAAGCCGTAGAACCACAGCAATCCCTTCCCTGAAACTACCCCCGTGGAAAGCTAACCAGGGACCCTGAAAACATAGCTGGTTTGTAGAGGAAAATACGTCTTTCCGGGTCCCTTCTCAACCCCCCCAATTCTGAGGCCTTTTCACTGATTGATCTGATTGTTGATTGGATGGCTAGTGGAAAGTCGGATCCCGGAGTCTCAAGATACCAACCTCTCAAGATCATGACAACGATCTTCCCATCCATGACAAGATCATGAACGCGCCTCCATTCGGAAGATCTCCACAGCCTCCGTGATCTCACAGAAGGCCTCCTTGGGATTTTGCATCCATTCGGACATGGAAAAAGGATAACGCAGGCAAACAATCATATAGTAGTAGCTTCCTAAATTGTTACTAGTAGCGATGGCCTCCAACCTACTTGCGATGGCCTCCACCTAATAGCGTCCTTGCTCCTAGTAGCTATGATGATGGCAAAGGGGATTCACCCAAAGGGGACCAAAAACACCACCCTCCTAAGCAAATCCAGGCATCCATCTGTTTGGTCGCCTCCAGCGCCACCACATTGGGGCTCACACCCCGCCGTGGTCGATCACTAACGCCTTCCGCCTTTCGCTTCATTCGGCGCGGATGAGATTTGGAGATTTGATATGGTTTGATGAACCAATCTGTGGCAGTGCTAAAGTGCTTACCATATACATCTTACAACCTTTCAAGGTTTCATCTCACGGAACATGCTGAGCCCGTATTTTGGTGGAGCTGTTGTCTGGCAATGGTTTTCAGTGCTCAGTGCTTTGATTGTTGATACTGAGGATCATGGCTTCGTGAGCTTACGAAAGGCTGCAAACTCAAGCCACTGCAGGAGACTGTCTCGCAGTAGGGCGACTGTCTTTGGACATGAGCCAGCAAAACACAATGACACTTTTGAATTGTGACTGTATGATTCCTTTTTGAGCCATCAGCTGCTTGCTCAAACGAACAGCACACCAATCCTTTCTTCCCCAATGGATCAATGATCCACAGCCTTCAAAGCGAAGGCTGGTGCGCTAGTGCGCTGAGTGAAGAGACGCTTTCCTCTACTAACAGGAGGGCCTTCCTGCACCGGCTTTCACTAGTCCTGGGTCCCTGGATCCACGGCCTATTTGGATCCCCCGTTCTCTCTTCGACGACTCAAGGCCACCCCCAGGTGGAAAATTCTTCTATCTACTGGAGCGTCGTAATTCCTGGTCATCATCCAGTCCGCTGGGTTCTTCCTTCTGGTCCTAGCTCCGCCACACGAATCCCCAACAATCCGGACTGCAACGTTTGCCCATGTGGGTGGGTCGTTTGAAGGTGGGTTTCATTGTTCAATGCAGCCAATGAAGCCCTATGGATCCACATACCACATACCCTCTGAGAAAGTGATGTGTTCGACACTTTCATGCGGACATTCAGGATCCAGTTGTACCAAGCCCGAGAAAGTTCTGGTGGATCCATATAGGGTAATAATTGAGCAATGATTAGTCACTCCCCCCCCATATATGAAGAGGACCTCTTGTCGGATTTTCAAGATGAGCGAGCGGTTTCACATGTTCATCCTTGCTCCTAGTAGCGATGCCCGGAGCCCCTAGTAGCGCTCTTTCTACCTTACGTCCTTGGGTACTGTAAATCTTCCAGTCGGATGTTGGGGACGCCGTGCCGTCCCACTGGGCCGTCGAACGCCAAGCTCTTGGGCTTTGCCCGCCTTGGGAAGACGAGGCGTGGTTCGACCCGAAATGGGGAGGCTGGAGGGGCTGAATTCCACAGGGACCCCTAAAATTTGGGATTTGTCATAGGTGATTTGAGATGATTGTCCAACGCCCGCAAACATGGAGATCAATATTCAATATACAGTCTAACCATATTTGTTGGGAGGGACGTATGAATCAACATGGAGACCTTTTGCTGCTTGGCGGAGTCTGCGTGGTGGCCGCCGGTGATATCGGCAAGATCCATTATGTTAAATATTTAATTAGTTAATAGTACTATTATGCAAATAGAGTACCTAGTGGCTACACCAGCCTGGTGCCAGCCGTAGGTAAGGATATTATGCGGCAAGTTCTTAATTCAACACATTCAACTCTAATACCAGCACCACCCAAAGGGTGGTGATATGTGGTGATGGGATGGAAATCACATGGTCAGGGGGCGTCTATAAACCACACCGCCGTGGGTGGTCTAAATACCGTATATACTGTAATTGACGAGCTTGCTTCGATCCATTCTCGAATGCCGTGACCCTCCTCTTTGACTTGCGCACCGATCGAATCATCATCGGGCCTGGGGCAGGACTTTTGGCCGCATCCCGGAAAAAGGCCACTCAAAGGCGAAGCTCAGTAGTCTGAAAAGGATTGCACATTAAAAACGTAACTTTTCTGAATTCATGCAATTCCGGAAGGAATCCATCCGATCCCATCTCACCCATCTCGGGTCTGTTTTTTGAGCAAAAATCCATGCTCACCCTCCGTTCCTCCTGGTTCTACCTCAGCCCTGTGAGCCATCCTCAGCCCTCTGAGCCTACAAGGCCATCGTGGAATGAAGTGCTCCGATGGATCCACTGGTCCCCGGCAAATGCGCCGGCGAACCCCGTGAGGAGCGGCTCGAGCGACGGGAGCTGGAGCGGCGAGAAGAGGCTTGATCGTGCTGTAGCACACGCACCTAGCGCAGGTTCAAAGCCAAAGCTCTATGGACCCTATAGGATTGCAAATGCACTGAATTTTAATGTTTCTAGTTTGGTCTTTACCAAAGAATCATTGTAATTACCATAAAACATATCCAGTGCTTCAATGGTCTTGGATTGGAAGGCTAAGGCACAAATATACCCAAACATACCCAAACACTCCCCAGGCTGAGCAAATATGGCCGATTTGGGTGGTTTCATATGAACCACCTGAGATCCCAACGTACTGAACTCTTCCATACATCCCAGCACCCTTAGGCACCCTTTTGAACAAGGTCTCGAACTCGTTCGACCCGAGGCCTTCGGAGACGACCCGACGGACTGCCAGCTTTTTCGGTCTGGGTTTCACCTGGTGGATGGTCTGGGTCTGATCGTCGATACCATGCGACCGACGAGTCAGCACGGGCAGCGCAAAGTTTCACGGGCAGAGTCAGTGAAGTGACTCAGAATCGAAACCCCCTGAATCATGGGATTTGGATTTCCAAGGTTGGGGGAACCATCCCCTAGAATTTGGATCCCAGTACCTTCTCAGGTTAGGTGCTTGGAGACACTGTTATGTAGGTGCCAGGGTCGGGTCCAGTCACCTCGTTTCGATGCCGAACTCGGACATGTTCGGACAACCGAACGGGCCGACCTCTGTGAGGCGACCTGGACGTCGTAGCTGGATGTCCAAGGTGCCCACATGGGTGTCCAGCACAGCGTCATACCTAGGAAGTGCCAGTCATCTGGCGCCAAATGGAATGTCACGTAGACCCAGCAAGTCCAAAAGGACTGGTGCAACTGGTGCGTGAGGGTAAAGGACGCATTTCACCTCCCAATTTCCATACATTGTTTTACGGTCTTTCACCCTGTTTTCACATGTTTTTCACGTCATTTTCATGGGCTTTCATTGCTTGTTCAAGCTTCCAGCTCCCGTTTTGCTAAAGCACCGGTTAAACATGGTGCAATACCTAAATCACGACTGGTTCAGCTGGTCCGGTGACCCACTGAGAGATGTAAGTAGATATTGCGTTGTAATACTCAAACACTCCATTGGTTGATTTGGGGGTCCACTTTGACTGATATATTCCATAATATCCCGTGTCTGGGTTGATTATACAACTGAAAAAATATATATCACATGTCTCATATATATATATATACATATGGGCATGCATATAACATAGGCATTATTCTAGGCGGTACTTAGTAGGGACAGGATCGGCCCTTCGAAGGAGGGTGAGGGTGAGGGTGACGGTGAGGGAGGGTGATGGTGAGGGTGAGAGTGAGAGTGAGCGAGGGTGAGAGAGAGAGCGGGAGCGAATGAGAGTGAGAGTGAAAGAGTGAGTGTGAGTGTGAGTGCGAGTGTGAGAGGGTGAGAGTGAGGGTGAGAGTGAGCGAGAGTGTGTGAGTGTGTGAGTGTGGGTGAGAATGAGAGAATGTGAGAGTGAGAATGTGAGAGAGTGGAGAGTGAGAGTGTGAGAGAGAGAGAGAGTGAGTGAGTGTGAGTGTGAGAGTGAGAGAGTGAGAGTGAGTGAGAGAGAGAGAGTTAGATTGAGCTTGTGAGAGCACAAAAGTGCTGCGCATGCCACTAACTGCACTTCGAGGTTCACAAAGTGCTGCGCCTGCAAAGAAATCTGCATTTTGAGGTTCACAAAGCGCTGTGCCTGCCACAAAATCTGCACATCGAGGCTCACAAAGTGCTGCGCCTGCCACGAAACCTGCAGATCGAGGTTCACAAAGTGCTGTGCCTGCCACGAACTCTGCAAACGAGCCACATGTCCAAAAGCCACCATTCACTGCACCTGTCACGAAATCAGAGCGCCGCGAAGATCACCACCATGTCCAAGGTGCTGCACCTGCCACGAAATCTCCGATCTCTTGCGCCTGTCACGAAAGTCGACTTTTGACACGGAGTCGGAACGAAGCACGAGCCACATAACGGGTGAGTATGAGAAACAGGAACGAAGAGATCAAAAACAGGTAGAGAAGCGAGATCCAATTCATTCATATTAACAAAAATGAGCTGTGAACCTGCAAAAAGAATCCTGTCTGGGTGAACATCTTCAGCTTGTTTGGGGGTCCGCTTTGCGCCCGGCTCGGTCGCCGGGTTCGTTGGCTTTGCTTTGTTTGGCTGTGCGGTCGAGAGTCCAAAAAGGGCTAATTGTTTTTTTGACCCATCGTGACTCACAAAGAAGATCGCGACCACCGCACGACGTTGTAAGAGCTTCTCTTGACCCTTAGATGGCTTTTCTCTTAATTAGATGGATGGGAGTGCAAAAATGCTTGGGAGCCCAAGCAACCCCTCTCGAATGATTATAAAGATTATACTAAAATGGGTCGTGCTCCGAGGCATAGCATCTACTGAGTCAGAAACAGATCCTTACAGCTAACCACCACGCTGTTCAGTGCAGCGGAGATACTCGGCCACCAAAGAAGCGGTCACTTCACCCGTCCCAACCAGGCTGAATAGAAGCTTCTGCTCCCCAGTATCTGGAAGGTTCAAACTTCGGTTCGTCGCAGACTGCAAGGTCGATTGAAACATCCGCCGCGACGGCCCACTGGAAATCTCCAAGATATTCCTTTGCAAACGAAACCACACCGGGCCCCGGGCGCGACGGAGACCGAAACAGCTGGCCATCACTTGGACGAACGCAACATGCGACTTCTCGTGGATCGAGTCCCCCCGACACAAAAGAAAACAATCAAAAGTGCATGTGCAATACGGTAAGTACTGTATTCGCCGTATTTACATTGTTTGTTACGATATACCCACAATTACCCACATGATCCATGCGGTTAAACATGGACTGCATTCACTACTGAAACCACCCACGCATGCAGGCCATATGTCCATATTTGCCTACGGCCATATTTACGTACCTACATGGAGCGTTTGGGTTATACTAGCTATAGGGTTGTTCACTGGGCGCACCAACAACGAGCAGGTGGATGAGACTCACAACAACTGGGATCGTAATACACATTCGTCGTTCAAGCCGCTTTCAGAAAGGTGTGTACCGTGTAGTGACAGTGAGGGAGTCCTGTTACCCCCCTAAGTCGCTCCAGCTCCGCCTTCATCCGGTTCCTATGATCAAACTGGACATGCTGGGGTTGCAAAAAAACACACTCTCGCACCATGCGTCTCCGGAGTCCTTCCCAGGCAGTTCTGGCATTGATCTTTCAAGTCATGGCTGAGAACCAGAATATCCTGAGGCGGAGAAGTGCTCCATGCTTTGATTTGTGGTCCATGAACTGGAACAAACCTGGAAAATTCACAGGAACCATGAAATCCCACCAAACCAAGCATGGGATTTTGTTGAACCATTCCCTAAACCAAGCATGGGATTATTTGGGGGCATTGCATGGCTTTGCCTTGGAACCGGGGACATTCGGTTTGTGGGAATCACAGAAACCGAAGCAAATAACCAATCAATCACTAGGTCGTCGGATGATCTCTTGGTCCTCAGATGTCTTCAGGGGCCCCATTCACGAGCTTGAAGCATGAAAACGAGCCTCTGAAAGAAAGGCCCGTTTTGGTCCAGGATGGAGTGAGTTGAAGAACCAAACATATGTTATGCCGAGAGAATCTTGAGAACGACATGTCTTTCCAGAACCAACTTCGGATCGCTTCTGCGTCTCAGAGAGGCTGACGAACGTGGATGCACAGAACACGTTGGCAGACGGAACAAACCAAAATCGACCCGGCCGAGTGTCAAAGGTGATGACGTCAAATACCACAAATGTTGCACCACTTGACCGCATAGCAGAACTGGGAGAGCGCTCTGGCAGCATGGGGCCGAGTGCTTCCCCAGCCTGGATCTCCCGCACTCCGACCAGGAAGGATCTCTTGTTGGCGAGATTCTGGAATTGAGCGTGGAACATTTCAACTTTCACATGATTCTGATCCGAATCGAGCATATCTGCATTGAGGGCCATGACTGAGGTACTTTCAGAAGCGATGGAGGACTGAAACAGCTGGGAGATGCGCGCGTGGTCCTCCTTCGCGCAAAAGTCCAGCAAAGATCTCCCTGCCAACCCTTTGCTACCGCTATGTAGCAACATGCTTGAAAGTTGACGTGAGTCTTCCATCAGTTGTAGGGTCTCATCCACCTGGAGAAACGGACAGTCGGACAGCGGACCGAATGACCCGTCATTTCTGGTCATGGTTGGTCCACTTCCACGGTTTCTTCCATGCTTTGGCGGAAGGAGGCGCCCGTGCCCATGCCATATGTGTTCAAATGATTGGAGGGGGAACAACTCTTCTGTAGTGATCCACGTTCGACTCTCAACGCGGCCATGATGATTCGATCAAAAGGGCCAACAAGAGTCTCTTGTGACTGGGTAAAGTCCCTATAGAACATGTGGCGTACGCAATTTCATACACTAATAGTGATGGAGTACCTATATATATATATATACCCCCCGCAACTAGAACCCAAAAAATCAAGGTCTGAAGTATAAAGCCGGGGTTGTACACATGAGTGAGGTAAAAACCTGACTTGTACCTAAAAACCTGACTTGTACCTTTCTACATTGAAAGTGAAGTGTATCTCACCTTGGTCTCCCCTTTGATCTAACTATTTGACCATATCACCACCACTCTTTGCGGTCACATCAAGGATATTCAAGGATCAAAAGGATCCATGTCAAAAGGATTGGCCATGAGTCCATGCTCACCACTTTTAAGAAAAAGATGTCCGCAAGGACCTATAGGATAGCAGTCCAAACACCTTGGCCATGAAGTGCCTTGCCTCAACTGAAAGCAACTCCACATATCATATGGACACACTTAACTAATCCAACAGCTGTGTGTGGGCACGCAGCCCTAATACTTTCTTTTGACCATATTCATGCCTGTCCCATGAAGCGCTGTGCCTATTGATGGCCTCGAATCCAATCAGACCCGTCCGGGTTCCCAGAGCATTTTTTTATCTTTGCGCACGGTCATGTCCTGCAGCACGAGCGATCGGCGATGGACCAAAAAACCAATGGCTCTGCGCAGGGGGTTTTGAGGCTCAAGTTTCAGAGACAGGTAGTGAGAGGCTTTGGCAACTTCTTTGAGAATGCCACGAAAGCCCTTAAACCAATTGGATTCACTTGGGCAAGCGTGGGATCAGTGCGAAACAACCCGCAAAAACATGAGGGAGGTGGGCGAGCTTATGTTGCTCAGCGGTGAGCTTGTCTTCAAGGCAACTACACGGACTTGTTCTTTGAACAAAGAATGTCTCAAGCTGGCGTTGGAAGCTAGTGCTCATACGGCGAATCGGATGCCCAGCTATACTATTTAGTCTTCTTTATTTATATAATGTTTCTTAGTTGATCATGTTGATCTCACCTTCCACCCTAACTTTGTAAACCTCCAAGGGTCGACTTTTAAGGGAATGTGATACGTGCTCTGTCGTATCCGTTTTCCCCCGGCCCGCGTTATACAAAACATCCCAGGACACGGAACCTGCCGGAGATTGGCCCGCTGATGGTGCAAATCAAAAAGGCCTACAACCTGTCCAACTTGGAAACATCTGAGGAGTTGATTTATAGGCAGGCATGGGCCGTAAAGCATGGATGCGGTCTTGTGAAGCGAAAGGGTCAAAGAGGAGAACTGACCAGAGAGACTTTGATTTATCTAAAGGCTGTTTGCTACTGCCATCTACTTACAATTGGTAGGGAGGGTCTCTTTTCAAGATTTGTGATGGAGGTTGGAACTTCCCATACTCACAAACGAACAAGCAGTGACCCTGCCCACCCGAGCACCTAAGGACACAGGTTTCCATGAACTTCTTTTGGTGTACTTCCCAGAATTGCAGGCGCGGCCCAGGAAGCAACCAACTAAGAGTACGTGTGGTTAGAGTACTGTATTTGATGTTCAGTTGCTCCAACAGCCGTTCCATGCTTTTCCACTACGCTTAGTGGCCTTCCAGGAGAGAATTGAACGCCATCAACATCATCTTGACCAGCAAGCTCCTTATGCTCCTGATGAGGAGGAGATGCCATACTTGCATGATAATGCCATGCATGCCTTGGCTGTTTTTGCATGGTTCTTCTTTCTGGTTCTGCTTGACTCAGCAGTGGCCTGCAAGGACAACATCGATGATGAGGAGGACGAACAAATTGAACCTGATGAATGCGATTCAGAAGAAGGTGAGAGTCAGGAGTCGAATCTTGCTGAGGAACCGGTGGAAGAAGTGGCAGAACCTCCTGAACCTGAACATCCGAATTTCCCAGAGGAGCCCTATGCGGCACTGCCCAATGTTCCTCAGGAAATCACAGAACTTGGACCTGAAGACATTCAAGATGCTGAGGAACCTGAGGAAGAACAGGAGGCTGGGGTTTCATAGTACATTGGTAGGTGGTGAGATGCATCCGGGCATTTCCGGGCCCATAGCAACCATGTTTCACCAACATCAAATTTTGCATTCAGTTTGCTGTTGCCTTGACGGTAGGCGATCGAGACTCCCAACCATGCCAAGCTGGTCTCCCCTGACGAGAGGGTGTTGGACTCTGCCCGTCCTTTGCGCAAGAGGTTGCGCCCGCTTATCTCAGACGATGTTGCGGAAATCTTGTCTTCGGAAGATGAAGCTTGTCATTCTTCTGCATGTAATGTATTGGAACAAGACCCCTTGGTCAACCAAAGGCGTGCTCGGGATTGCTCGGGTCTAATTCCATGAGTTCCACTTAGGTGATTCTTCTTTGATTCCATCCCCGTCAGTGGACGTCAAGAAGACTTTGTTGCAGTCTACGGACAAGGCAGAGATGCAGCGCATGATCCAGCTGATTCAGCAGCAGTTGGAAAGGCCAGGCTCATGTCCTGACTTCCTTCCAACTTATGTGTGCACGACTTCATGTCTACCCATGCAGGCGGATCACCTCCCGCGCAGCTGCAATGGCTGCTTCCGAAGAAGGCCGGGTCATGCCCAGACTGTCGTGCAATGTGTGCTGCAAAGGGGTGTGTGATGTGCGTGTCTTGAACAGTTTTGAACCAAGCACCATGGAATAATTTTGCAGGTGTCCACGTGGTGATGGAGGACTCCTTGCCATATGGCACGGACATGATGGATACTTTTGTTCTATCCCCACGAGCACAGCCTTCGCCAAAGCCTGTGCATGTTGAACCTGCGCCTCCAGTTGAACCTGCACTGGTTGAACCTGCGCCTCAAGTTGAACCTGCACTGCTTGAACCTGCGCAGACGGTTGAACCTGCGCATGTTGAAGCTGCGCTGACGGTTAAACCTGCGCAGGTTGAAGCTGCGCGAACGGTTGAGCCTGCGCAGGCCGAAGCTGTGCCTCTGGCTGAACCTGCTGAAGGCAAGATACCCAAACCGTCACCTTCTATTTCTAGTGATCTTCGCGAAGCGGTTGAGACTTTTCGGAAGAAGCCTGGTTCGTCTGAAGAGGTTCCTGGTCGGAAAGCATCTATGCAGGATTCATTCATGCTGTTTGATTTTTCCAAGTATGTTGCTAAAGGTGAAAGTCAAACATGTGTTTAGCACCATCCCACGCATCCCGGATATTTTTTATGGTTGCGCTTATCTAAGGTAGTAACCAAGCGTGAGCAAATGGCACTCAAGAATGCCAAGAAGAAAAAGAGTGAAGAGGAAGGTGATCCTTCTGACACCACAGGTTCCAGAGGGAAGGGGAAAGGATCTGCAAAGCCAAAAGGTAAATCAGCATCAGCCAAAGCAAAAGCGAAAGCAAAGGCAAAGGCCAAGGCCAAAGCAGTTTGCAAAGCGAAAGCGAGCAAACCAAAAACCAAGACACCAGAGGTCAAAGAGGACTCGTTCAAGTCTGAGAGCATTCAAGTGCGCAAAGCGCGCAGGACAAAACATGAACATGCTGCCGGATCTTCAGCTTCCAAGGTTCCGGAAACACCTTCACCTAACATGCCTGCGAAGGGGACAGGGGATGATGGTTCCAAGGTTTGCAAAAAGAAGCGGACCACAAAGTCCAACAAGAAAGGTAAGCGGGAGGTGCTAAAGAACCATGCTGGCAAAGTTGATGCCTTGATGCCTACGGGGTATCCTACCGAAAAACACCCCAAGGATGTGCCCAAAGGGCACCCAGGTTCTACCAAGGCTGTTCAGAGGGAGTCCCGAAAGCGTGTCAGGGCATCAAGAAAGGACTCTAGGCTTGAAGCTGAAGAGGGATCCAACTCCAAGAAGCCTCGTGCTCCTAAAGGGGCCTCCAAAAAACATCAAGGCACCGCTAGTGATGCAGTCTCCGCTTCCCAGCGTGAGCCCAGACCCAGTCCTGGACCCAGTCGGCCAGCGTCGCGCCGCGAAAGGCTGCCGCGTCAGGCAGCACCAGCCTCACAGGCTGAAGAACCCTTTCGCGAGGATCCAGACTTCAAGCAAGAGCTCATGTCAGTCTTGGCTTACCATTGGAAGTCTGGAGTCTCTCAGCTTGGAGCCGACGACTTTCCAAAGTCCAACTTTGACAAGGTCACCCTCAGTACCTATTGGACCCGTAAGAAGCCCGCGGTAGGTTTGAAGTGCAAGGGTCGTCCGACGTGGAGATCCAACAAGGAGTTTGCATACTTTAGCTTCAAGCCTGCCGACACTGTGAACATCGCCTTTGCAATGGCTTGTGCCAAGTATACTGCCCAATCCTCAGGTTTCCCTCGTTCAATCAGCTTTCTGTTCCATTCAACACAACGGATGCCCCAACCCCACCAAAGTGTTTTGGTTGTGACATCACCCACTGCCCAAGGCCCACTGGGTTGAAAACCAGAACGAGGAGGAGTTTGACCCCTTTGCGCCCAAAACGCAGCGCTTTGTGGAGTGTGTGAAACAGTGGGGGTTGGACGCCATTGAGGAGTTCAAGGAATCCTATGGAGTCGGGGAAGCCTCGACGTGAGTGGATCGTCCATGTATAGTCTCCTGATTGAGCCAAAGTGTGCACTTCACACTTGGGGTTCCAGCGGATCTGATGTTTAATCTATACAGTAAAGTGTTATTGCAAATGCTTGGAACCATAGGTCACAAGAACAATGCAGTCGTATTAGTCTAATTAACATAATATAAGGCACTTGGTTTGTTGAACTGTTGAACTTAATCCGTGCAGGTCTCAGCTGGATTCAAACACATGAGTCTGGCACAACATGTGCTCAGGAACGT